ATGCAAATCTTTCTTCTTCAGCCTTCCGCAGCTTTGAAATGATAATTAGTAGCCATTCTGAGTAGGATGTGTGTGACAGATGTAGGAGTACAGCCGTGGGAAGGTATCTGCAGCACGGTACCGAGTATAGACTTCTTGTCACGTAAGCTCCTACTACAGGACTGTCAGACGTGGATAGTTGCTTGAACACAACCTGTTGCATAGGCTAACAGCAGTTAATAACATTTTCCAGTGCGCTGGGAGATTTCCATTTGTGAAAATGATGGCAGGATGTTTTCTGTGGTGACTGAGGATGGGCCTTGTGCAGTTCTGTAGTGCAGGTGGCAGATAAACATCACGCTTGATTAATGATGGCCCGCAGAAATAAATAACAATTATGTATTGCATAAGATTTTCTCTTCCTTCCACCCCCTGCTGCTCTTTATTTATCTCTTGGTATAAGACAGTGTAGCTTGCAGATGTTAGATGTAAGAGCATCAAGATTAATTATCTTGTCAGAAGAGGCAGACTTTAGTGTTACCCTGAATCTCGAGGAACAATGTTGCAAAGTTACTGGCTCATACTTCACAAAATAAATCTGTTTGTGAATGGGGTTTTTTGTGCATGCACGTGATGGCATCAAAAAGATAATCATATTCTTGTATGCTTTACACTTTCTATTGCAAGTGATGAACTAACCTGTAAAAAAAAAAAAAAAAAAAACCGACCCAAAAGCCCAACTCCTCCCCAGACCCACAAAACCCCCCCAATTCGTGGAGAGGTTGTACAGCTTGATAGTTTTAAGTGTAGCATTTTGTATATCTTCCAGACTAGAAACACAGGCAACAGAATTATTTTTGTATTCCATTTAGATACAAGCCTGTGATTATCAGCTCCGTTTTTAAAACCTTTAAAGTCTGTCTTACCTAGCATATCCAACTAAAAGTTGGCATAAAACTACGTTTTTTACTTTCAGAATGATTTCAAAGCACACATAAGCTTCAGCTGCCCCCTGCTAGTGAAGTACATAATTTCATCTGAGACAAAGAAAAGTTGTGTTTTGTTGGACAGTTCTGCACTGGGAACAAGAAGCTCATTATGTGGAATTAGTGTTTTACCTGCTTCCAAAAAAAGCCTTGCTAGAGATTTGAGGAAAGAATAGAAAATGATAAAAAGCCTATTTAAAATAAGCTCATAAGTTCTTGTAGATGTGGAAATCCACTATTTAACATCTTTAATGTAAAGGGAGGAAGAATCTCAAACATGGTGAAGGCCTGCTGCTGAAAAGAAGGATGTGATAATCCCTATTGATTCCTTTATATATCATCGATCTCTCATGTATCTGACACCACTCCGATATTATTTCACTTGCTTACCTGTCAGAAAACTTAATATATGCACCCAAAGCCTCAATTTATTTAGTACTGGAATTATTCTGTGTGTAGGTTAGTACAGAGGTGGCATGGGGGGTTAGGAGCTAGAAGTGGTTCTGCTCCTCTCAGCAGCTGTATGGGGTTAAATTTGTTCAACTGTATCATCTGCCTGCACTCTTAGAGGAACAGAAGCAAGAAGTTTGTCAATAAGGCACTTCCTAAGTTAGATTTTAATGTACACTGTTAAACTTTTTTGAGAATGTGTTGTTTTTACAGTGTATATTTGTTGTAAAAGTGAAATGTCTTGGCACATATGTCTTGTCATCCAGGAAATAAAAGATGTTATTCATAAGGAATACTCACAGCAGGCTTCCACCATTAGCTTAAAATGTGTGAAACATTAGTTAGAAAGCCAAATCAAGAATATTGTAAGGAGAGGGGAAGGGTGAGAGGAACTGTTTTCTTTGTATATATGTATGTGTAGGTTTAGTGAAATTTGGAAATGAACATTGTTTTTGTTTGGATATGGAGTATGCTTTCTTCATTCTTAATACTAACTAGTTGAATATTGTGGTTTCGTGTTGGTTCATGGATTTTACATGTCTGTTTCTTTGATATCAAATATGTCCTTCCTGAAGGCTGTTCTTGGGGATTTTGATTGCAGGAAAGAAAAACTTTATGAACAAACTCAGGTGTATCATAATTTTCTTCTTTCCCTTTTTTGTAGGAACTCAGAAGCTTGAGAGTGTTGTGCTTAGTAAAATGAACTTTGAATCTTTTGTGAGAGATCTACTTCTGGTTCGTCATTACAGAGTTGAAGTTTACAAGAACAAAGCAGGGAGTAAATCCGTCAAAGAAAATGACTGGTATTTAGCATACAAGGTACATTTTTTTTTTTTTTTCCCCCAACCTTTCCTTATGATGGTGAGATAAAAGAAAAAAAAATATGACTCTTTCCTGAGCCTCGGAGCTTGGAGTTTTGGTATTTTCAGGGGTCGATGTTGGTGGTATGATGGAAAATTGTGCTGTCTGTTATATATCCCTGTATTTTCCACTTCTCTAAGGCTGGGAGAGCTTTGTGTAGATGATATATAAAATTTTAATGGCTAAGAAAATAGAACACCTATATACTTTATATTAATGGACTGTTCAGTCTTTACTTTTATCAGTTGTCCTTTTTAAAGGGGTGTGTGTGTGGGAAGTATATGTATGTATGTGCACTCTTTAAAAATATATTTCTTTTCCAAATAGGGTTCTCCAGGAAATCTTGCCCAATTTGAGGAAGTTCTCTTTGCCAACAATGATATGTCAATGGCCATTGGTGTTGTGGGGGTCAAGCTGTCTACTACTGATGGACAAAGAGTGGTAGGAGTGGGCTATGTCGACACTACGCTGAGAAAACTGAGCGTCTGTGAGTTTCCAGATAATGATCAGTTCTCAAACCTTGAAGCTTTACTGGTTCAACTAGGACCGAAGGAGTGTGTGCTACCAGGAGGAGAGACTGCAGGAGAGATGGGAAAACTACGACAAGTAAGGGAACCATTGTGGCTTACAGTCAGACAAAACATTATCTAAAAATCTGCATTCTAGCTTATTAGCTAGGCTCCATGATTTCTGGAAAACGAGGAGCCTCGAAGGTTTTGATTTATGTATCAAAAATGTATTATTTGTCTCTTGACTCATTTGTGTTTTAATTGGCGAAAGTTGTTCTAATGGTAAAATCTTTCCAGTCATTCTTCTCTCTGCAACTTAGCAGTAAATAAATACCTCTTCAGGGTTTGCTTCTATGATGAAGATGAACATCTGTCCCTGAATATTGAAAATAATTGATAACTGTGCGTGTTTATGGTTAACAGGTCATTCAGAGGGGAGGAATCCTGATTACAGACAGGAGGAAGGCTGATTTCACAACAAAAGATATTGTTCAGGATCTCAATCGCTTGTTAAAATCAAAGAAACAAGAACAAATGAATAGTGCAGCCCTGCCAGAGATGGAAAAGCAGGTGAGCAGAGTTTAGTGTGCTCCTGTTTTTTAGAAGCAGGGTGGTTTGTGTATGTGTTGTGAGCTAATCTCTATGTTCTTGCTGAAGGGTTCTGCAGTTCTGCTCAGCTTGAGTCTGTGTCAAAGCTGGATTACAAGGGTCCTAGAAAAAAATGAGAAAACCATTTACTTACCTCTTTAGAGTATTAGACTTTGAGCAAATAAACCGTGCACAAGAGGTGATTCCTACTTATAATCAATCTAACCTAAGGACTGAAATCCGATACTTCAATTATTTTGTATGACAGGAAAATTGGTACTTGAAAACAATGTTTGTGATAATTTTGTGTTTTATATCATCTTATGGCTCAAGCATACAATTTAGTGCCTGCATGTGATCAGAACATGTTTGTTCTTAGCTGCATATGAGGTAATTTGCTTGAGGTAAACACGTTTTAAAATGCTCTTTATTGCTGATGCTCAGTGCAGGTGTAAGGCACAGAATTATTCTCCCTTAATGTGTGATTTCATAACAGGTTAAAATTGTTTGGAGTGTGTTGCAGCTGAACAAGTCAGTCATGCTGCTGCCTCTCTTTTGAGCTGGCACTAGCATGTGTAATGCCATGCAGTGAGTCAAGCAGATACTTGTTCTGGCTGAAAACTAAGCCTGAAACCGTATTCGGAGATGATCCATGATATCTCATTTATCTGCAATAACTTCTTTGTGTTTCTGAGCCAGAAACATCCTGATAAGAGGTTTTGAAAGCTGGCAAAGTGTGCATGTCACATTTTATCAGCTTATGCAAACGTCTAGTTCGTGTTTCTTGCACTTACCTAGAAAGACACGGGGGTGCCACAGAACGTCCCTATGAAAATGAGGTCTAGGCAAACAGGATGAGACTCTCATAGACTGCTGGAATTAACATGGCTCAAAGTCTTCCCCAATGGTGATTTTTTTTTTAGGGGCATTTATGAAATACTCTCAGATTCAGGAGTGTTTCTAACTAGAATAATGGTGTGTTTTGTTTTCTTTTTTAAACTTCAGGTTGCTGTTTCGTCTTTGTCTGCCATTATCAAGTTTTTAGAGTTGCTGGCAGATGAGTCTAATTTTGGACAATTTGAGCTGACTACTTTTGATCTTAGTCAATACATGGTTCTAGATAATGCAGCTGTTCAAGCCCTCAACCTTTTCCAGGTACGAAATACACGCTTGAGTTGTTTTTTTGCAATATACTTACTTAGCTCCTTGATCAGTAGCCTGGCTGCTCTGTCACAACTTCCCAGGTCCTGATTAATGGTAGCTTTAACATTTTGGCTTTGTTTGCAGCTACTCCTGTACAGTGTGTGTTTTAAACAGCCACTCTTACCACCATATTTTGTTTTGTTGTCTTACTTTGGGTATAGAAGAGATCTTCATCAAGGAGGTGAGGGGGTGCAGGAGGGGAGCAGAGTTCTGCAGTTTTGTGGTGTGTTAGGGAATTCCAAAGCATAGTTGCTTAATATGGTAGTGCTGGTTTTGAAGGAATGAGGGTAGAAGCCTGAATTAGTCAGTATTAGGGGAACAGGAAACATACGGCAGGAACACTGCTGTTAGTGATTGAAAGGGAGGGCTGGCTGCAGCAGGCAGGGCAATGAACAGGACAGTACTTAAGAACATCCTGAAAGCACTGTGGCATGCTAACTGGCCAGTGTCAGTTTTACTTTTTACACAGGCTTTCTACAAATCTGAGCAGGTTGCCAGTCTGCTCCATACCTCCCACCATGTCTGGTTTTCTGCTTTGCCCCTTTTTGTAGTTTTAGGAAAACGTGGACTCAAAGTGGTGTGGATCAGCTTTTCTCTGTTGTTTTCATGTTAGTAAATCCCACTTAGTGCTTGGAGCTAATCTGCTTGAGTTTCAGATTTATAAGAAGAAATGACAGATAACGTCTCTTCTTTACCTTAGATGGATTTCTGGAATTAAAAAGAGCATATATTCAGTATCTGAGCTGGCTAACCCTGAAGAAACATCTTCTGATTTATTTTCTCTATTTCCTGATTCTCTGCCACTCTCTAGGGAATGAAGCAAGAATTACATCTCCTAAACTTTACTGAGGTGTTCTAGGAGGTTCAACACTGTCTTAGCTTCATCCCTTTGTAAGTTCTTGCGTATGTTACATATTTTGTAACAGAAAATACACTGCTGTTCTCATTAGGGGCTGTGAGCTTTGGACCAAGGGGTTTGCCATGTAGCAGGAAGCTGATTTGTAGCCTGTGTGGCACGAGCTGTCTGCGACGAGGTTTTTAGGCAGGCACTAAAGCAAAGGCAAAATAATCTGAAATTTGAGTTGCTTTGTGAAGTAGGTAGGTTCTTATGGTGCAGCAGATGCAGCTGATTATATGCAACTGTGTTCTTCCAACTAGGTTATTCATGTGTAATATATACTCTGTGACACTTTCTTGGATTCGGAAGGCTTTCATATATAATACTGCTCAGAATACTGAAAACAGGCACATCCACTTCAGATGTTAGACTTTCCAGGGGTTAAATGTGTCAGTGCATCTTCTCACTTCTTTCATTTCCTGTCATGGTGATGCTAGTTCAACATGCCAGTTGTTTACAGGCATGCAGCCTGCTCCTGGTTGAATGCTTGCCTGCTGTTTTGTTTGCAGGTGTTCATGGATAGAGAGTTGAGGTTTTCATTTCAAAGTTCAGGGTTGAAACAAGCTTGTTTGCCATTTTCCAGTGTTAAGCAAAATTTTTGCTTTCTAGCTGTTTTGTGCAAGACCCAAACAAAACCCCAAGAAAAATGCCCCAGAGTCTTGTCTTGAGTCCAGTTAGAATTAAACCTAAATTAGATAGTAAACTAAAATCTGAATGGAGTAAGTTTAGAGATGTTTATGGTATTCCAGAGATGATCTAGGGAAGCTTGAGAGAAGTTGGATAAGTGTGCTTTTTCCTTTTGCCTGGTTCTGTTGTCCATGCCCCTGGCATCCCTAAAGATCTCCAACCAAAACCCTTGAACCCAGGCCCTGTTTCTTGCTGCTTTTTTTTGATGGATAGGACCCCTATTTTTTGACCTTACAAAGGGCAAGATAGCAAATATGTAAGTATATTTCCACCTTTCCTATTCAAAGGGCAAACTGCCCAGTGACCAGGTATGTTTCTAACTTTCCTGTTCAGTCAGGACTATTTTCAGAATAGACAAAGCTCTTCCTTGCTTGCCATGTTCTAGAGACCTGAGTGTAAGTGCTTCAGTGCTGTGTTGTTTCATTTGCCTTTTTTGATGGGTGCCAAGTTGAGTACAGGAAAAACACTGTTCTGTTCCTAGTAGCAAAGTACCATTCAGTGGGTGTTAATAAACTTCACTAACTTTTTCCTTTCTTTCCCTTTCTAGAGTTCTGTGGAAAATGCTAATACTGCACAGTCTCTAGCTGGTTTATTAAACAGATGCAGAACCCCTCAAGGACAAAGATTAGTTAATCAGTGGATCAAGCAACCACTTATGGACAAGAATAGAATTGAAGAAAGGTAACAGTATTATGTGTGATAGATGTACACAAGTTTGTGCCTGTTTTTACAGGAGGCTCTTCCTTAAAGCGCAGAATGCTACAGCCAAGAAATTAGGGTGGTTGGAGGTTTTTGTGTGCTGTCCTGTAAGACACTGTAGTTAAACAGAGCAGGAAACATTTTCCCTGGAGATGCAAACGGACAGCTTACTGTTAGATAAAATGTTTTTTACAGTTATGACCTTTAAAGAGGAGGTAGGATGTGTTCAGATGGTCAAATGCTTCATGCTACAGACTAAGGCAGCATAGCAGCCACTTCCTAAACTATTGTTTATACTGCAAATGCTCAGTCTGTGTACTGATACTTTGTCAATTAAAAAAAATACATCAACAAAACACACAAACAATTAAGCAGTAGTGACCTCTTCGTATTTCTAGAAAAAAAACCCTGTGGTTGCGGTAGGTCACTCTTACCATATCTCACCAAGAAATTGTGGCCCAAGTAGGAGTGGTCTTTTTCCTCCTTGCTCTTTTATACTGCTGCCTGTCGCTACATGCCCTTGTAGGAAGTCCCTCTTCAGCTTTCTGTAGGTCCCCTTTAGGTACTGGAAGCTGCTATAAGGTCTCCCTGGAGCAGCTTAACAATCCTACACACTTTGAAAAGCATTCTTTTTTTTTGTGTTTTTTTCAGTCCGAAGGAGCAAGTGTAATAAGAGAAGCTATTGGTGGGATTCATGAGATATATTGACAGATTCAAATATACTTGGAAGATACGGGGTCTCCAAGATGTTTTCTATATGCTTTACAGTATATTGTGGCTGTTTTAAGAATTACAAATGATAATTTAGAACATATTTAGAACATTTGAGAAGGAAATATCTGCATTGCTGTTTCTTTTACGTTTCCTTTGTTAGGGAGAGTTACTGATTGTTTCTTAGCTTGAGGTGTGCCATGTTATAGGACCCCATTTAACATAAACCAGTGCAAAACTGTTATCAAACTAGGCTGAACTACCCAAATTGGACTGATGTTAGGTGACAATTTTTGAAGTAAGCCTGCTTTGCTTATACAGGAGGTATTTTGACTTAACATTTATTTCAGTAGTGTAGAAGTGGATGTCTGAAAGTTTACAAGAAAGTTATTCTTGTAAGCCTCTGCTAAGACCTGCAGGTGGTGCAAGTCATCTTTTGGAGCTAAATGGATCAATCTCTTTTTGTAGTTTGTAAGCTGCAATGTGTTAAATTTATGAATAAATGGAACACAGTGTTACATCACTAGTCTATATTAACCATCAACAGTAACAACAGAAATTAATGTACATATTGCACATCAGGTAAAATAACGTTTATCTACTGGAACAGCTCCTAATGAGAAATAAGAAAATGGGGGTTCCTGATACTTGCCTGTCTTGAAAGACTTGGGGTTCTGCCTATGTCTGACTAGTTTTCCATGATTAAAAAAACTTAATTATCAGTCATAGGATATAAGATACAGTCCTGCTTCTCCCATGTGGCATGTTCAGAAGGCAGGTACATGAAGCTCTTGCTCCTTGCCTTATAATCAGCATTTCTGAAATTAAAATGCAGTTGCTGAGATCTCAGGACTTAAAGCCTGTACTCAGTCATCACTTGTCCTGATTCAAGCCTATTTTGAGCTTTTCTCCTGTGTTCCTGAATGTGCTGCGTGGGGGACACCCTGTAGAAAAGCATCCTATCTCCAGCAGAGTCAGAAAGTAATAGATTTGGGAAGCTTGAGGTGACTAAATAGCTAGGAGGGTAAAGTTTCCAACTTTGTAGAACATTCTCATGAATCAGTCTTGAATGACAATTAAAGTAGCAGCTTGTTTAAAAATGAAAAAAGCCTAACTTGTTGCTAGCTTGTGTAGGCAGGCTTGAATGCCTTTACAGTGCTTTATTTAGCAGTAAGTTAACTAACATATGCTTTCTCTAGCAGATAAATGGGGGGATGGAGTGGGGTAGCTTGGAAGACTGGAAGAGCATCTCAGGTGCACACAAGTGCACCTCATGGATGAGAAATGGCCAGGTGAAATGAGAATTCTGGGCATTGGAGGCCTGTGAGCTCCCTTGAAATGTCATCGTGCAACTGGTGTGCTGTAGCGTGTGCTGTTGATGGAGGCTGGGCAGGGAAGGCATAGGGGATGTGTTTCTGCAAAGGTATAGCTTAAACGTGAAGAAGGGGCATCAGGCCTATTGTGAGCTTTATGGGTCAGGATTAGAGACGGGCAGCAAGGCGAGGAGCATAATAGTGAGCATCTGCAGTACCTGCTCCTTCGAGGTGAGGAAGTGGACAAGGCAATGAGAAGAAACAGCCACAGGCCTTGGCTCTCTTGGATGACTTGAGCCACCCCAGCATCTGCTGGAGTGCAGCATGATACCTGCATCTTTGCACATGCTGGCAGAGGAGTCAGCTGAAAGGGAGTCAGCAGTGTGCCCCTGCATTAGCAAAGGGTGACCATGCACTGAGATCTACTACTAGAGGAACATGATGGTTCACTTCTCCTTGGTAGCCGTGAGGTTCATCTAGAGTACTGTATCGAGTATGGGGCTTTGCAGTACAGGTAGGTGGACAGACAGGAGCCTGTCCAGCAGATGGCAACTGACCAGGATCATGGGTTGCAGCACATGGTGCGTGAGCAGAGTGAGGGATTTGGGTTTGTAGCCTGGAGAAAAGAACGCTAAGGGGCAGACCTGACTGCTGGTTTCAGCTGCCTAGCAGGTGGGAATCAGAGGGTGAAGCCACATGCTTTTTGCAAGGCCACAGCAAAAGCATGAGACAAAACAGCAACTTCACCAAAAGTGGTCCAGATGGATATAAAGAAAACGAACTTTGCCATGAGGATGATTAGTCTCTGGAATGTGTGCTCAGAGAGATGGATCTCTGTTCTTGTTCACTGTTAACTGAAATTAGCCTCGTTTTGAGCAATTGCTGGAACTAGAGGCCTTGAGTTCCCTTCCAGTGTAAATTGTTCTGCATTAGGATTTAAAAACTCTTTTTGTGTTCTTTCCTAACCTGCAGCAGTCCCTGCAAAGCATTGCAGATAGGCTTTGAGTACAGGTCAGTACTTCTCCACAGCAACAGGCTGATTTCAGGCAGTTAAATTAGTAGGTGGTGACCTTTGTCCTCAGTAAGGGAGGGGAGAATGTGACCAACCTGGAAGATTGTCTAAATGGCTGAACTGAAGTGCAGTTTAAAGTTCTGGGAGTGCCCTTAATGCCTGTGAAGAAGCTTCTGCAATACAGGTTGAATCTGAACTGGTTGAAAGGCAGAAATGTGATTTGTTATTGTCATGGAGATCATGGTGCAATATGTATTTTGCATGAAAGAAGTTGTCATTCTAGTGACATGAAAATGGTGTTGGCTTCCCAGGTAAGCCTCTAGAAATGTTAGGAAAATGTCACCTTTAATTGTTCGGAAGTTGTCATCTCTAAGTCCCCTAGAAAAATGTTTGGAGTTTGAAGCTGCTTCTTTCACGCTCTCCCCTCCCTTCACCTATGGTTATTATTTTCAAAACTGCTCAATCACCTGTATTTTGATAAGGGTTTGCGTGTAAAGCCAAGGTTGACAGTGAGTGCTGTGTAGAAACATTAAGCAAAAGCTCTACTAGTCAAGTACGTGTCAGGCAACATCACCAGGAAGCAACATCCATCAAAATCCCAGGTGTTCGAAACCTATTAAAAAGCTTAGATTCTTGTGTTGCAAGAGATTCATTTTTAGTTTTCTTGTTTGAGGAGGAAGCAGGGGATGTAAATAAGAGCTGAAAAAAGACTCCCTTCATCACACCTCCATGTGTGGAAAAGACAATGTTGCTGTTTGAGCTAGAGAAGTACCTTAAAACTGTTTGTATTCTGCATGATTATCCAAATCATTTGTCTTCTAGGTCAAGGTTCAGCAATCAACATTTCAAATCAGTAAATTATAGGTGGCATTCAGTGCTGCAGCACTGGAGCAGGTAGTCCTAGTTAATACTTCCAGCTTGCCCAGTTCTGTTCTTCCCTGTGAAGGTGCTGAGGCGCTGGCACAGGGTGCCCAGAGAAGCTGTGGCTGCCCCATCCCTGGCAGTGTTCAAGGCCAGGTTGGACGCAGGGGCTTGGAGCAACCTGCTCTAGTGGAAGGTGTCCCTGCCCGTGGCAGGGGGTTGGGACTGAATGAATTTTGAGATCCATTCCAACACAAACCAGTCTGTGATCCTGACAAGTCCTCACTTGGTGCAAAATAAATAGAAGGATTTAGTCAGTGTTTTGCATCTGAATTTTGAGGCTCAAGGAAAATAAAAGTTTGGTTGAAATGTCAAATTGGTTTTCAGGTTTTTAAGAAATAATGGAATTGCTGTTTATTTAGGGAAATGTGAATCTGTAGCTGCCATACTTTTCTTTTGCTCTCAGCCTGCCAAAAGGAGGTGGATGGTAATTACTGCAGTTGTTAAATTTTAGTTAGAATCTGTGTTTAATTATTCAGGATTTTTTTTTCCTTTTTAAATGCAGCCGTAGGTTAATGAAGCTTCCAGTTAAAGAGTGTGACCATATGAAAACGTTTGTATTTTTGGTGGTCACTATTTTGAACATCGTATACAGGAATATGGTAGGTATGTTCTCCATGAAAGATCAGTGAACATACTATTGTTTCTCATCTTTAATTTATATCCACACACATTAGAAAGGTGGCATGTTAGGGAACTGCAACAGAAGCTCTTTGCAAGATAATTGTCTTGATTTGTAATTTCATTTATGATGTGTAAGGGTTGTAAAGTCTTTAATGTTTTGTTTACATACAGTTCTGAGGTTTTTTTAAGGCAAAGAACTTCTTCAGTATGTTTTTAGTCTGCACAAGTTTAAGGAAATGCACAGATTAGCAATTTAAAAGAGCATTAGTGTTTATGGACTAATGTAATAAACTCTTGATAATGTATGGAAACTAGTAAGGAATAAAACACACAAATAATAATGGAAATCTCAACTGTCTCTAGTCTTTGAAGACCATACAGTATTACTGTTGTATCACTGG